AATTTTTCAAAGGGGCCTTTCTTTTACGCCCCCCCCGTTTTCCCCAAAGCCCTAGGGGGCCTTGGGGCCCCCCCCCGTTTTTTTTCCCCGGGCCCGGGGGCTCAAAAAAGCCCCCCCCCCCCCCCAGGGCCCGGCCCGGGCCCCCCCCCCCCCCCCCCGCAAACTCCCTGGGCGTGTTCTCGTACAGGTACCTGACGATCACCCAGGGAATGACGAAAAGCGCGGGGGCCCCTGTGCAGACCCCGACCCCCACCCCCCACCCCGCCGCAGCTGTCAGCACGCGCGCGGGCCTCGCCCGGCCCAAGACCCGCGGAATTCCCCCGCTGAGATGGGAAGGCAAAAGCCTAGAGACAGGGAGAGAGCCCTGAAGCCGACCAGCAGGGTCGTCGGGGAGCGGTGGTGCGCTGGGCCGGGCGGGCAGGGGACAGGGTCGGGGCTCACCCCAGCCGAAGAGCAGGTAGCCGCGGAAGGGGCCCCCCTCGGAGCCTCCCACGAGCACCAGGAGGCTGTGCAGATAGATGCCCTCCACCAGCAGCCAGGTGTAGTTGGCGCCCACGCAGTACTGGGTCACGATCTGGGCCGTTCTGCAGGGGGCTAGAGCCTGGAGGGTGGCCAGACACGGGGAGGGGGCCGTCAGGGCGCGGGGGGGGGACCCCAAGCTTTCCTCCAGCTGCTCGTCCTTTCGCCCCCCTCTCTTGTCATCAAATAGTCTCCCGCTCTGTATCATCGACGGGCGGTACCCGTGCTTGGTGTCTCTCGCCCTAGATGAACTCTCCCACTCCAACCGCTTAAACAACTGGTATCTTCCATCTCACTATCAAACCCCCCCCCCACCCCAAGATGCCCCCAAATATGGCTTCTCCCGCCCCATCGCCTGAGAACTGTGCTCAGCTACTCCACCTCTCCAAAAGTTTCTCCCATCTCGCCACTCCTCTCCCGCCAGCGGGGCCGCCCGCCCCCAGGCTTCCTAACAATGGGCGCGGCCCACGCTGCTACCAGGTAGCTTTTCTCCCCCTGTTCCCAGCCTCAGGCCTCTCTCACCTGGTTCCTCAGTAACAAACGGGGATCTACCACATCCTCCCACCAGCTGGTTCCCCCAATCTGTCTCCTCCTCACCTCCAGCAGAAGTCTCTCTCAGGGGTGGGAAAGGCCAGTGGTTGGTAATACAATAGAGAGAATGGAAAGTTCCAATGAAGGAGATGGGGGAGTCAACAATGAAGGCGGCTGAGTTGGGAGTCCCTCTCCCAAAGTCTTCCGCGTGGTCAAGAGAGAGGAAAGCTGTCGCTCGTGTAGTGGGCCGTGGGTAGCTTGGGAACCTCCTGCCCATCAGAGGAGGCGGAACCCCAGTTTGAGAGGAAGAGGGGTGATGCTCACCTGGTCCCACAGGATAGGGGCCTGGTCCCCGGGTGCGGGGCTCGCTGGAGGTAGCAGCCGGTCTCGGGTGAGGATGGCTGCTGCCCGGAGCATGAAAGACGTGAACAGGTTGATGTGAATGTAGTTGCGCGTGCAGTGCAGCCGCCTGGGGATTGGGGAGGCAATGGGGACCCATGGAGACCTGTCCGTGGCCACATGGAGCCCCTTGAACCACCTCCCAGCCCTTCTTCTCACAGACCCGCCATTGGGTGCCTGTTGCTGGTGGAGCCTGACCCCCCATCTGAGTGGGCAAACTGAGGCCCAGTCTCTGCCACTCACAGTTGGGGGGTCCCACCTGAAGAAACTCAAGATGAGCAGGGCCAGCAGCAGCGCGGCCAGGGACAGGGAGTAGCCCACGGTGTACACGACCTGTAGCCGCTCCAAGATCAGCATTTGGTTCTGGGGGGTACAGGGAAGGACACAGGAACAGAGCTCAGCTCTTCCCCCAGGGCCAGACGGGGGCTGGACAGACATCGATCTGCTCCTTGTTCCTGCCAAGCACCCCAATTTTCTCTTGGGGATCCAACTTCCCTTATTTCAATGGGGCTATCTCCACCCCTCTGCTCCAGAATGGACATGTGACCAGCCAATCAGAGCATTCTAACCCTCCCCCCCGCACACACACACACAGTGGTTAGCCCAGGGTGGGCGTATGACCCAAATCAGGGCAATAAGAGTCAATCCTGAACCCCCCTCCCGTTTCTCCCATCCCTCCACTGTCCCCTCCCTGCTCCCCACTGTCCCCCCGCAAAAAAAAGAGTCAATCCTGAAAGTTTGGGGCTGCGAGGGTTGACTGAGGCTACAAGGGGCTGCGAGGGCCGAGCCCCTTGCATGAATTTTGTGCATAAAATAATATTGAATGACAATGTAATTGAAAAATAAAAATTTTAGCCCTAGCTGGTTTGGCTCAGTGTATAGAGCATTGGCCTGTGGACTGAAGGGTCCTGGGTTCGATTCCACGCAAAGTCACATGCCCGGGTTGTGGGCTTGATCCCCAGTCCAGGGCGTGCAGGAGGCAGCCAATCAATGGTTGTCTCTCATCATTTCTCTCTCTCTCTCTCTCTCTCTCTCTCTCTCTCCCCCTTCCTTTTGGAAATAAACAAAAATACATTTTTTAATATATTTTATTGATTTTTCACAGAGAGGAAGGGAGAGAGACAGAGAGCCAGAAACAACGATGAGAGAGAAACATCGTTCATCTGCCTCCTGCACATCTCCCACTGGGGATGTGCCCGCAACCAATGTTGCGGTAAAGTGGAAAGAAGTTAATTAGAAGAGGATGCTCTGCCAGGAGAAGGCGTGAGCCTGCACGCAGGCCGCGTCAGAACAAAGTCTTGCACGCGAGACTTATTGTTCCGAGGCAGAACTTTCCTTGACGTGATGAATAGTCCATGAGGGCATAGAAAGTTCAGGGGAGGGTGCACTGCTGCAGGTGGAAAGAGTCTTTGTATAACATAGGAAATTAATAGTGTAATGTATAACTTAGCTCAGATGATCTCATAAAGCATGTTTGTTAATCATTGTCACTTGCTGTACCCCATTGTTAACCATTGTCACTTGCTGTACCCCATTGTTAATCATTGTCACTTGCTGTACCCCATTGTTAATCATTGTCACTTGCTGTACCCCATTGTTATTTGCTGTGCTCACCCCCAATAAAAGCCATGAGGGATCAGAGGATCTTGGCTATTCGCCTGAGCGAGCGGTAGCCCTCTGCTTCTCCGTATCCTGTGGTCCGACTCATCTCTGCGCCTCCGTTCACCAAGAACATCAATATCTGGCGCCAAGAACGGGGACCGGGGGTGAGTCTAAGGGGCGTGGGACCGAAAGGGAGATGCCAGCGCCGAGTACGCGGAACTTTCGGCAATAGAAGCAGAGTATGGGGACTAGCCCGTCGATGCAGAGTCAATATATAGCTGTCTTGAGATCATTGTTAAAGAGTTCAGGGGTAAAAGTGAAGAATGAGGCTCTTAAAAAATTGTTTGAGGCAATTCAGCAGCACTGTTGTTGGTTTAACCCAGAAGGAAAACAGCAGTTAAATCTTAAATTGTGGAAACAAATTGGAAGGTCATTAAGAAGGGCTCACCAACAGGGAAATGCTATAGAGGCTGATGGATGGGCTGTTTTTAATTTAGTAACGTTAGCTTTACAGCCTTTTCAGTCTGATTCTGAAGATTGTGAAGAAATTCCTATGAAGTCACAAAGTGCTGCTCCAGGAGCTGAATGTTTAAATCCTGAGCCTCTCCCTCCTGGGAAATCACTACCACCCGAGCCGCTCCCGTTAGAGGTCACTGAACCGAGGGAGTCAAATAAAGGACAGAAAGCTAGGGTTAAAAATGAAGTAGGGGGTTATGAAAGAATAACCTCAGCCAGCGATTCAGAGCTGGATGATTCATCTTCTGCTGGTTCGGAAGATGATTATTGTCCTCGCTCTAAGTTAAGGAAAAGAAGAGTGGTGAGAAGGGAAACAGAGATGAAGGAACTTTTAGGGAGTTTAAAAGAATTATTACTTACAGTAGTAAGGAAAAGAAAGAAAATAAAAGCCCTCAGGAGTTGGCTGCACCGCCGCCGAAAAATGAAAGTAAAGCGGCACTAGCCATTAATCTGGTGTTAGCAGCTGAGCCTCCACCTACCTCCTGAGGACACGAAGAGCTGCTAATGCTCAATACCCTCAAGAGTTATATGTATTATTAATTATAATATTATATAAAATTATATATGTTATTAATTTTTATATATTAATTAATATAAAATTAATTTATACAGATTATAAATTAATTCCTTATACTTGGAATGCTATAGCTAAGGCAGTATTAGCCCCAGGGCAATATCTGCAATTTAAATCCTGGTGGTGGGAAAAAGCCAGGAGAGTGGCGATGATTAACGCCCAACAAAATCCACCTAGATCTAATTTTGACCAGTTAACAGGAACTGGAACACATAGTAGCCTACAGCAACAGGTGCTGTTAGAGAATGCTGTTATTGCACAAATTAGAACTTGTTGCTTAAAGGCTTGGTCAAAAATAAAGGAGGCTAGCACCCCGGCCCAATCATTTTCTAAAATTATATAAATAATATTAATATAATAATAATAATAATCTTATTAAAATCTTATATAAATAATTAATAATAATTCTAATCTTCTTGCTGATGCATTAAAAACTGCAATTCCCATCCTGCTAAATGCTATGGATGTGGGAAAATGGGACATATGAAAAAAAAAATTGTCTGAAGGCAAAAGTCCCACAAGGGAAAGCTAAACATGCTCCCGGAGTTATTAATACAAATTATGAAGGAAAAATATTAGTTATGATGCCTGCTTCTGATACTATAAATATAAAGGCTAGAGAAAAAATGGCAGTTATTATTACTTCCCTATAAACAAATAGGGCATACAGCACCAGTTAAACAAACTAGAAGATTTAGTAGCACAGGAAAAAAGGTTTTTTAGCATACAATTTTAGGAGGCCAAAGACCTCAATTTTTACAGTTTATTCCCGGAGGGAATAAAAATTATCAACCTAGTGGATTCTAGGGCTGATGTAACTATAGTTTCTACTTTGCACTGGCCTCCATCTTGGCCGGTACATAAGGTGAATGCAACTTTTACAGGTTTAGGGACCCTCACAGAAATTTTGCAAAGCTCTAATGTACTTGAATGTTAAGGACCTGAAGGACAAAAAGGTAAAATACAGCCATACGTTGCCTCCATTGCACTATCTTTGTGGGGAAGAGATCTTTTACAGCAAGGGGGGGGGGGGGGGGGGCTACAATTACTATACCTTCCTTACAGGAAGGTCATAGACAAATGATTTTTCAAGCTGGTGCTGGCGTCACTGGCGCGTGTTCAGGACCAAAATTTATAGAGGGGGCCCCTTCAAAGCGCTCCGCCTGCCTTTAAAATGGAAAACAGATTGATCTGGTAGGAGACTGGCTTCGGAGACTCTTCTTGGAGACACACTTCAGGGACTCACTCCAAGGAGCAGGCCCCAGGTAAGCTGGGAGTTGGCTTTTTGGATGGCTACTCTAGCAGGGCCTTGACTTTACCTCACAAGCCAATCATCACTTGGATTCAGATGATTTTATGACACATGCTTTCATTATTGCTGGTGTCCCTCAGTTAGCCTTGCCCTACGTCATCAAAATGCTTGCAAAAAATACAGATATCAGAATCCCAATCTGACCTATGGGGTAACAAATATCTGCTCATGCAAAGTGTGAAGCTGCCTGTGGGAATCCTCTTCTAGAATGTCTCAGTGTCTGGTGCCAAATTCTTTTTGTTTAAAACCAGAGCTTCGCCCTAACCAGTTTGGCTCAGTGGATAGGGCGTCCGCCTGCGGACTCAAGGGTCCCAGGTTCGATCCCGGTCAAGGGCATGTACCTTGGTTGCAGGCACATCCCCAGTAGGGGGCATGCAAGAGGCAGCTGATAGATGTTTCTCTCTCATCGATGTTTCTAACTCTCTATCCCTCTCCCCTCCTGTCTGTAAAAAATCAATAAAATATATTTAAAAAATAAATAAATAAAATAAATAAACAAATAAATAAATAAAATGGAAAACAACTAAACCGGTTTGGGTAGAGCAGTGGCCCCTAACAAGAGAAAAGTTGAAAGCGCTCCAAATTATTATCAAAGAACAAATACAACTAGGGCATATAGAAGCCAGCTCTAGTCCATGGAATTTCCCTGTCTTTGTTATAAAGAAAAAATCAAGTAAATGGAAAATGTTAACTGATTTAAAACGGATTAATGAAATTATTGAGCCTATAGAACCTTTACAACCTGGAATTCCAAATCCAGCATTAAAGCCTTTGCTGTAATGGGCAAGCCCCGAGCCATTAAAACTGACAATGGCTCAGCATATTTATCAGGTAAATGTCAACAATTTTTTCAACAATTTGATATTAAACATATTACAAGAATTCCTAGAAACAGTACAGGTCAAACAATTATTAAACAACAGAACCAAACCCTTAAAGAAATGCTACAAAAACAAAAAGGGGGAGAAGAGCTGGTATCAGGCCAGACTCCCCGACGAAGATTATTAAGAGCTTTATTTTCTTTAAATTTTTTAAATTTGAATACAAATACAGTGTCAGCTGCTGAAATGCATTGGGGACATAAAAAGGAGGTCCCGGTAGAACAACCTATTATGTATCAAGATGTCACTACTAATCAATGGTGCCCGACTACCGTTTTAAGATGGGGTCGAGGCTATGCTTATATTTCCACAGGAACTAAGAAGTTCTGGATTCCTGACAAAAGAATCAAGCTAAGGCATGGCGAGCAAGAGGAAGCGTGATGAGGCGGGACTAGAAGACCGGTTTACACAGCTAACCATCCAGAGAGGACAAACAATTCGCACGCAGTTGCCTCGCACCCGAAACACTTCTCCACCAACATGGGGACAGGTGAAATGCCTATGCCAGGAAGGGGAATGCCTTGTGACTGCCTATGGAAGGCCCTGTAACTAATGACTCTAATTAGATGCCTGGACTTTTTAAAGATCGTGGGCCTTTGAAACCAGATGAAAAAGGGTCCAGTCCAATGGAATCAAACTACTGGAGAAATATCTTGTTTTAATTGTACTTTGTTAACCTGTGTAAATAACTCTGTACTTTTTAATCACAATAGAGAGAGCTTGTATCTATTGCAAGCCAGAACGGGAGTATGGTTACCTGTGCAGATGGACCGACGATGGCAGGAAAGTTCTCTAGCTGGAGCTCTCCAAGCCATTGTGGAAAGAAGTATTAAAAAGGTCAAAAAGGTTTATTGGCATACTAATCGCTGTAATTCTAGGATTGATTGCTGTGACAGCAACTGCAGCAACAGCTGGGGTGGCATTGCAGCGATCAGTCCAAACTGCTACTTTTGTTCAGGAATGGCATAAAGATTCAAAACAGTTATGGAGTTCTCAACGGAAAATTGATAGTGAAATTAATGAACAAATAGCCGATCTTGAACAAACAGTAGCTTTATTAGGGGACCAAATTGTGAGCCTGCAAAGGCGATTACAGTTAAAATGTAATTAAAACCATACTGGTCTGTGTATCACCCCTGTGCCTTACAATGAGACAGTTTTTCCTTGGGATAAGGTTAAGAAACACTTATTGAATCATGGCAATTTAACACAAGAAATTATTGATCTTCAAGATCACATTCACACAACATTTCAAAAGAGATTAGATGAGGTAACCGGACAGCAAGTTTTACAAGATCTTATAAATGAGATACAGAATATGAATCCTATTCCACATATTCAAGCATTAATGGAAACCTCCTCAGGGTTGTTATTGCTAGTATTGATACTTTGCTTTGTTCTATATTTAGTCTGCAGAAGATCGAGTAAAGCCGCAGCAGTGAACAATTAACGCAATGCTATTTTTTATGTCATGAACCTGAAGCAAAACAAAAAAGGGGGAAAATGTTGCGGTAAAGTGGAAATAAGTTAACTAGAAGAGGACGCTCTGCCTGGAGAAGGCGTGAGCCTGCACGCAGGCCGCGTCAGAACAAAGTCTTGCATGCGAGACTTATTGTTCCGAGGCAGAACTTTCCTTGACGTGATGAATAGTCCATGAGGGCATAGAAAGTTCAGGGGAGGGTGCACTGCTGCAGGTGGAAAGAGTCTTTGTATAACATAGGAAATTAATAGTGTAATGTATAACTTAGCTCAGATGATCTCATAAAGCATGTTTGTTAATCATTGTCACTTGCTGTACCCCATTGTTAATCATTGTCACTGGCTGTACTCCATTGTTATTTGCTGTGCTCACCCCCAATAAAAGCCAGAAGGAATCAGAGGATCTTGGCTATTCGCCTGAGCGAGCGGTAGCCCTCTGCTTCTCCGTATCCTGTCGTCCGACTCATCTCTGCGCCTCCGTTCACCAAGAACATCAATAACCAAGGTACATGCCCTTGACCGGAATCGAACCCGGGACCCTTCAGTCCGCAGGCTGACGCTCCATCCACTGAGCCAAACCGGTTTCAGCCAAAAATACATTTTTTAAAAGGAAAAAAGACAAATTTTAAAAAGAGTCAGTCCTGTGACATTATGCTGGAACTATTGAGGACAAAGCTCAATCTCCCCACAGTGTTGCTTGGTTGGTGGGATGTGAGCCTGGTGCTAATGGAGAAGACAAACCTGTTCCACCCCACAGAGAAGATGAGACCAGCACAGAGAAAAACACAGGCACACGATGGCGAGCAACAGAGAGATCCCCAACATTATTCGAACACCTAGATCCAGCTGTGCCTGAAGCTGTGCGTGGCCGAATATGTTTCAATCACAGAAATAAAGACTTTTTTTTTTTTCTGCATCAAGTACGTTTACTTGGAATTTCTATCACTTGGAACCCAGAGCCCTGAACAGTACAAGGGATTTCAGGCTCAGTCTGAGGCTGCTGCCTTTTCACCTCTCCCTAGACATCCAATCTGAGTCCCTCACCTCTTCTTACCTGATAGGTCCCATCCTCCTCTGGGTTCTCACACTGAGAATGGTCTCTCCAAGGTCCCCATTGGCCATCACTGCCACACTGGCGGAGGACAAAGCCTGCAGCCACTGGGGGGAATCGAGGGAGGGGATTAGAGGCACAGAGAAAGAGATGGAGACAGAGAGACCAACTGGGAGGAAAGGCAGAGAGAGAGAGCCAATGTGATGAAGATGATGATGATGATGATGAGTCCTTCTATGGAATTTTACACGTATTAATTTAATATTCATAAGACACCTATGAAGCTGGTGCTATCATCAATCCCATTTTACAGATGGGGAGGTTGAGGTATAAAGACATGAAATAAACTGCCCTGGACCACATAGCTAGTTAGGACAGGAAGACCAGGATGCCCAGAGACAGACTCAGATAAAGGAGAGGAAACAAGAACCCCTAGTCCTAAGAGAGAGACAGCCAGAGAAGGGGCATTATGTGACAGAGCGGGATCAGGGTGACCCAGCCCGGGTTGGACAGACAGAGGAGACACCCAGCTGGACAGAGAGGAGCAGGACATGGGGTGTAGGTGAGTTTGGGGGAAGTGGTGTCTGGGGCAAGGGTTAGGAGCCGTTTGTGTCCAGAAAGGCCCACAGTCCAGGGGGCCACCTCACCGTGACGGTGCCAGGGCAGGTACCAGGGGCAGGAAGCGCGGGCAGTGGTGTTGGGTGCAGCGTAGTCCCAGCAGACGTACATATCGAAGGACCCATTACAGGCGAGGCCTGCAGTGGCATAAGGGCAGATGTCGTGTGGATCGACTGCACCCTCTGCCCAAAGCCCTCCTCCTCACACCCACAGCCCTGCCCTAGGCCCACCCACCGGGAGTGTCCAACCCTGCAGCGCCACAGCCCCGCCCATCAGACCCCAAAGGCCCGCCCTATCCTCCGAGCTCTACTCGGGGCTCCCCCACCAAGCAAGTTCCCGCTGCAAGAGGTTCCCACTGCTTGAGGGCCCTTTCTAGGCTCCACCCAAGCCCCGCCCCTTTCTGGTCCTTCCAGGCCCCGCCCACGGGCGTTTCAGGCCCCGCCCCTTTCTGGTCTTTCAGGCCCCGCCCACCCAGTATAGACCCCGCCCCTTTCTGGTCCTTTCAGCCCCGCCCACCAAGTGCAGTCTCGCCCCCTTCTGTTCATTCCAGGCCCCGCCCACCCAGTACAGGCCCCGCTCCTTTCTGGTCCTTTCAAGGCCCCGCCCACCCAGTATAGACCCCGCCCCTTTCTGGTCCTTTCAGGCCCCGCCCACCAAGTGCAGTCTCGCCCCCTTCTGTTCATTCCAGGCCCCGCCCACCCAGTGCAGCCCCGCCCAAGACCCCGCCCATTCCAAGCTTCTTCCCAGACTTGTCCCATTAATCCGAGTAGCATCCCACTCGGATCCAGGCCCTTCCCCCCGAGCCGAGCCCACATCTACCCCGG